CTTATAGAATACGCTTCGTTGTGTCCCATTTATTCCAAGTCCTCCAAAGAATGGCTATCATTTTTCCGGATGGGTACCACGAGGATATGATGAATTAGCTTCATTAGGGGTAATGCGTGCCCCGGGGGTAAATGCAAAACCGGGAAATGCCACTGCCTCTGTTTGGCAAACTGTATGGAGAGGCTATTTATTTGGAAGGTAATGAATGATAGTCTACAGCGAACGTATTTTGTGGCTCAACCATCACTAAGGAGTCTAGTGATTTTCCCAAGGAATCCTGATTTTACCTAATATGGAGTAGCCAAATAAGTTGGCGGAGTAGTCCATGATCTATCTGTACTGTTAGCAGAACTAATAACTTCTACAAAATGCCGACCTTTCCCAGCAAGACACAAACCAGATACAACTTTATCCCTCAGCAATGATTTGTTCATAAAAGGTGGGGAAATAAAGCTAGCTCAAACCACCTCCGTTTGCGCCTTGCTCTCATTCCTTACCCACTTGTCCGCTCTACACTCTGCACGATCATGTCATTGTCCAATGCGACTGAAAGGAAAGCCATCGGGTCATATTTCCCTCCCTCTTCCCTTTCTTCCCTCCTCCTCTCTCTTCCTCCCTCAATCTCATCTTGAATGCAGACCAACTCTCACAAACAAGTTGGGTGGAGGTTGGGGGCGTGGAGATTATGGTCGCTTTTTGTATTCTATGCAAAAAAAGATGAGTGGGAGTTTTCTTCCATCGACTGAATAATTCTGACTGTTTCTGAAGAAGAGGAAGAGGAAAAAGATAACAATGACGATGGCAAAAAAAGAGAAAAGTAAGTAGTACTTTCACACACTGGAGGTCCATCAAGTTGTGTGAAGTGGATTGGTTTCAGCTTTTTGGTCTTCAGTGAATGGGGACTATCTCACGGAGCAGGTCTGATTTTCGCCTTGCTAACACGAGACGGGAAAAGACATCTGGGAAGGGGTGGATAAGTGTCTTAAAAGTGTGGAATGAGTCGTCTGAGCCCATTCAATGATCATTAGGCCATAAAAGCAACGTCTCATCACAGGCCATCTAAAAAACGAATTACTATGTTCGAGGGTTTTGAGACTCAGTTTCACTTGCCAGTGAATGAAATGCGAGACCTACACGCTTGCCAGCTTAATTAATTTCCCCTCCCATTTGATATAAGTGTCAGTGAATTGCCGGTGCAATCGTGTTTTCCTGAATGTGATACTTCTCTAGTCAGACTGAAAGGTTTTGATTATTCCTAGGTGATACCATCTACCACTATAAATGGAAAGATTTTTCAATACCGTATTCGCGTTTTGGAACACAGGCAAGCCCAGGTCGCGTCCATCAGTTTCCACGAAAATTGTAGGAGCAGAGGATGGGAAATAAGAGAAAAGTATTTGGGATTCGCACGCAGAGTACAACACCGGTGAAGTTAAGGATATCAATGTCCCAGAATGCATTTTAGCAGTGGTGACAAGTTTCAAACATTTATGTTCGATGGCATACTTGACCTTTTGAGACCTTATTATTGCTATCTGCCCTGAACATCTCCCTGATTGCACTTTTCGCTGTCAATCCTTCATGGGAAGGTGATCACCAGAGATCCCGAAATTTGTGGTTTACTTTAAGCTCTGCCAAGAAGTCATCTTCAGAGTAGGGCCATCGCCTATTTGTTGTACTGCTTAAAACAGTCAATCATTTCATCCGTCTTGTAGCCCAGACTATCATAAACTGGCAAATTGTCTATCGCTAACTTATCCCTACTGCCAAGGAGATTTCATTCAGCCTACCCTTCAAATCATGGCAAACTTAACCGGAAGTCTGTATCGATCTTCCTTTGAGTTCGACCCCTCAATCACTCTGACTATTTCAAACTGACCTACCTTAATTGAGTAGCGATTCCAAATTTCATTGAGCCTCTTACGGTCCACCATTAAGCCCTTCCCTGACCTCCTGTTTTAGGGGTTTAAATGACTTTCAAAATTGACGGGATAGGTAAACCCACTAGCCACACCCTTACCAGCTGAATACTATACTTGTTGATGCTTCAAATTACTCCCTCATACGGCGAGCAAGTTTTGAAACATCAGAAGTATCATTTTGGGGCGAAAGATATTATCCCCTCCTACGGTCATTAAATTTCTGCATTTAAATCCAACCGCAAAATAATAGGGAGATGTTAGAGGTTGATTAGACAGCGACACAACTTTGGGGTGGATTGGATGAGGAGAGAAGGTTCATTGGTTAAGGCTAATCATTTCGACTCCACTCAACGTTACCAGTAGCGCTAATGCCTCACCTAACTTTCTCCCTGAACGTCACAACAGAGGCAGGGATCATTAACCACTCCGGCAGCTCGAATAATTAGTTGGGGTATAACAGATGGACACAAGTAGATAATAATGAATTAAATTGAGTATTAAGGTGTTCGCGACCACTGTCACATATATGTGACGACCTGACCTTACCCAAAACTATTGTCTTTGTCTGGCTGCAATAAGTCGCTTTAGAAACCAAATATTTTGGGCTTAAAAGAGTAAAATGTTTTCAGGGTTTTCCAGGCTTGAGCAGGCTTACACCTTATAAGTCCAGGGGAATGGTGGCCAATTTCCTTCCGAGACTGTGCAAACATCTAATTTACCAACAATAAGCCTGTCATATGAGAAGGGAAAGTAGGGGTAATTTAGCAGGAAAAAAGGTCCGGAATGTGACAGCGGAGGGGAGCAATCACTGCTGGGGTTTTTTATTACAGCCTTGTAAGTGCGAACGCATATTTTTCCTGCCTCTAAGACGACATTCTGATATTTACTTGATACCTAAAGTTCAGCTTTTATGAAGTTTCATACGGAACGATTAATCTGTTTGTGTTTATTCACCAACAGACAACCTGTTGAACCTCAAGGAGGCCAGAAGAGACACTTCCCACCCCCAAATTTTGCTCCTACTAAAGACTGAACTGTGAAACTGGCTGAAGGTCCAATAAATTTTGAGCCGCTTTTCGACGACTCCAAGTGGCTTCATATTATTCGAGGGATAACTTCTCCGTGCCGAGTTCCATCAGAAGCTGACCCTCGTCGTTCCTTGTTTGCCTGTTGAAGGCAAAACCACCGCCGAGAACAGTACATTTCAGCACCAGCAAAGCGCTCATTGGCTGGCCCTCATATGAAGTCCAAAAGCCTCTTTTGGGAAATTTCAAGAATTAATAACCGGCAGACTCCTGTTCAGAATCCAACCCACACTTTAAAAATAGTACACTGGGCTGCAATCATCCAGCCATTACTTACCGATTCTAATGCCACACAATTAGCCTCCTTTGGACCAGAACCTCACAATTGGCCTAACCTTTCCTTCCTCCCAGCCTCAATGCACTTGCACACCATGAAGGTGTGGTTCTGACCAAAAGTACGAACACGCACGAGAATTAGACAGATTACGACTGTTGCAATGCCATTAACCTTCATTAGATTTTTTGTGCTCCACCAAATGCCAAAAAACTGTGAAGATTCCGCTTGAAAATGGAATACTGCCCTTTCGTAAGCGAAATGCCACGAGTGCATTCACTGCTTACTTTTAAATTCTGTTAAACGAACTCCATAGAGAGGAAGAAATTAGAAGGTTTTTAGTACACACGTGAACTCTATAAAGACCATCCGATAGCACCCCAAATTTGATTGGCTAGTTCAGACAGTCGATGCGTGCCTAAGAGCTCAAGAACTGAAATAGGTCGACTAAAACAATATTTTAAATGCAAATGAGAGTCCTTGGTTTTTATGTAAAATTGCAAAATACTATTTTCGTTCCAAATTTTTTTAGTGATTCTTCCCGTGTTAGTCAAGTTGATGCAAACGCCATGTTGAAGCTGTTCACGCACATGAATGTAGAGAGATAGGAAAAAGGTCGCTTTGAGTGGCCGCTTCGGCAAACTGATTAAATCATAGTTAAGAGAGAATGAAAAAATTGGTCTATTTCCTCCACTTTCACGAATTCTAGGCTAACTTAAAGAGACGCATTTAGGTACATAAATTTGCTGATGCATGGCGTCCAAAGTTATACACAGGGCTAAAGCTTAAGAAATCTTTTTTATAAGCAAACATTAGATAATGCTTTTAGCAAAGCGATGGTTTTTTTATTCCGAAACAGACGAGACTAAAGGAGTTGGCAGTTTATATTCACCGTGTTTCATGCCAGAAAGACACGAAAAGAAGTGGGGAAGCCTGTGCAGTTTACATGCATGAAGGAACATTTGGCTTGAAGAGAAAAAATAGGAAGATTAAGACACTTGCGAATCCACCTTTCCGTGAAGACGGACTTTAACTTTATTTCACTTTATAACTTTGAAATGAAGGCGTTGTATTTAAGGCAGGCGATGAAAGATATAAATTTTTTGCTGACATACAGCTGATCAAAGTGATAGTGAGACTCATTTCTGCCTAAATAGTTCTCTCTGTGGTAAAAGGAATGGTCATGGAGACTAGACAGTGGGAGAAAATTTTGGTTGTCATTTAACAGATGTTGACAGCTCAGGCCTTTCTGCCTTTTGTTCGCAAATCCAGGAATCAACTTAGTCGCCCAGATTCGAACAGCGGAGATAGTTGTCAAGCTCCAGATCAAAAGAATCGCTCAGAGGAGGTTCTACAAGCTGATGCAAGGTTCTCGGCCTTCTCCTACAGAATCATGAAGACGACGTTCCTCGACTGATTTGAAGCCCTTGAAATACTTTTTTAAGGTGCGGAGCGAGACTCATCGGTCTCCACTTCCCCATTCCTAGCGTTCTTAGACAAGCCCAGTTGATTCATTGTGGACATGTTTATTAAAGATAAAAAGATGGAGAGGGAAAGTACAACGTTCAAGAAGGAGGGGAACCGCAGTCACTAGGTACGGGAGAGGACGATCCGGTCACAAGGTTCGAATTTCCTGCTTGCCTCCTCCTTGAAGGGTACATTAAAACAACATAAGTATTATAGGGGCGTCGTTGACAGAACCACCAAAAATGAGCATTAATGCTCCAAAATGTTTCCATTTTAGTTTTTATTGGCCAAAATGCATTCAAACTTACGAAGAATGTTAGCAATTGGTACAGAGTTCACACAAAGATGTCAAATTTTTCTTCAAATTTCCATTTTTGGATAATGCCTATTTGTACCACTAAGGACAGTTTACAAATTCCATCTTCCGATCATTCATGCAAGTACTTGAGAGAGAAAACGGATCCTACTAGGTAGGAGCAAATGGCAAAATGACAGCGACATTTGCGTACGAACTTTAAGATTAATCAGTGGGTAGGGCATTCCTTCTTATCACACAAAATAGAATAGCCATTTCCCCATCTCCTTGTGCAATCTGTTAGAACATTCTCCGAGTCTTCACGAGCCAATAAACGCATGGGGACAAATTTGGAATTTGAAGGCGGCATTAGATCCCCAATTACCAACATGCCTCGAGGAACAGCTCATTCTCTTCTGTCTTAGTGAAATCTAATGCCATTCCGCATATCTCGCACCTCTCCGATGGGAAACGTGTTCCCCTTTTCAGGTCATGGAAGTGAGTCATTCAGGATCTTTAGAGAGGAGGTGGCAAGGGTGGAGGTGATGCTTCTTAAGTGAATGATGAAATCACAATACGATAGACAAGAGAGTAGGAGTTTTAAGTACCGTTTCTGCTCGTGGCATGTGGAAAACAGTCTAATTAGGGATTTAAGTGATAGTTTTTAATGTATGGGTATTACAGGGAAGTACAACTGCGAGTGATAGGAGGGATAGTAATGCCTTTGTCTAGTTTTGTTCGCCCTCAGGGGAAGGTTATTCCAGATTGTTAAGCCGCTGAAGGATAACTTAGGATTGGTTTAATATGAACTGCTCCGTAGATCCAGAGCTGCAAACGAAGTACGACACGAGCTTGGCAGATAAAGGAGGAGGGACCAAACTGAAGGTGCGCTTTCAACAGGAATAGCGTCATGGCTGTACCACAGGCAGCAGTAAATGGCAAGTATGTTCCATTGCTAGTGGGAATGGCGAGTATTCATGTCTTGAATGGGTCAGTTGAGAAATCATAAATCAAAAGCTTAGCTAGTGGTGGTAGTGCAGCCCGCAAGAAACAGCGTGCACTGATAAAGGAACAAAATAACGTTGCAATTCTCTGCTACGATAAGAGAAGTCTCGAATCGGAAGTATCTCAATTTGGTGGATTTTAGGTCTTAAATCACTAAAAATAGCTTGGCAGTCGGGTACAGTTTCCCATAATAAAATGTGAATAACAACCGAAAGTTTCTTTAACTACTTGAGAAGTTGCCAAAACCGCCAATTAATTCTCCTAGCTAATCCCATCACTAAGAAATAAAAGATACGTGGAAAGTTCACCAGTTCCCGTTACCGAAAGGTCCGGTATTTTTGCCCATGATTTTCGGATGGTAGGATCATTAAAAGGTGAAAGTCATCTTGGACTTAAGGAATTCCCATCAGTGATCTTGTCTGA